AGAGAGAGAGAGAGAGCGAGAGAGAGAGCGAGAGAGATGGGGTAGGCTACTTTCATTCTCAAACACACACAGTGAAATTGTGCACAGTTTATGAGTTTTAAGTAGTTAAAGCGCTGTAAATACTCGCGATCGTCTCCCTCGCAACAGAGCGCATATGAGGTAAATGACGTCAGTAATAACCGGTTATGATTATTACTGAACCGATACCGAATTGTCCGCGTCTCATCGCGGTGCATTGAAGAAACGATTAATTTTGACACCCCTAGTAAGTTGTTAGACTGTTGCACTTTTTTGTGTTGTCAATAAGCTCGTGTTTATATAGTGGCTCATTTCCACTGACCGCTACAGTACTGTACAGTTCGGGTTGGTATGGGTCACCTTTATCAGGCTTGCGTTTCCACAACTAAGGGTACCCTTTTGGTGGGCGTGGTGTATGACAGAAAGTTTCAGTCGATGTCATTTTGGCTCGAGAAAATGTCTACAGTAAAGCTGTACGGGTCGCTTGCATATCATATGAGAAGCACTTCTCACAAAACAGACACTTTACACATAAATACTTGTGTATAAATGTTCATCACTAACCTCCCTATGAACATAGTTTGATTATAATGCGAAATAGCCTACTGTAACGTCTGCAGTTATATAAAATAAATATATAAATGCAACATATATGAACACATGCAGCCCCTTACAGTCTCCGATATGATACCAACTACAGGAGAACTATACACAGCAGACATTTAGTCCTTATTTAGGTTCAAGAACAGCACAAAATATAGTCAGAGCAAACCTCCCATCTGTGTCTGTAATCTTCAGCAGCACGTGTAAGCTCTGTTAGAGAGTCATTCCATCATTCAGAGTTCATAATAGTCCAAAAGGCGATGATAATAGTTAAACAAGGCACTTTGTCAGTTTCTGACAGGATGGGGTTTCAAAAGCACGTCAATAATCAAGTGCACATTATTATCATGAGCTCAAGAAGTTTGTTATTTCAGATAGGGACACACGGCGAGCACAAGCAAGAAAGCGAAACCGCTCGCGCTTCAGACTGGCTCGTAAAAAAACTACGGGGCACAGGGTAAATCTGCTCTTCTTTTTGGCTTTGTGGCTGTTCATCAAGACGAGACAATGTTTGTTTGAGCCCGGGTCGACCATGGCTTGTCATTATATGTATATATACAATTCCGCTGTAATCTCTCGGCTGTGTATTTTAAACATGGCGGCTCTTTTGTTTTCATTCTGGCTTGTTATGTAAGCGAATGACGTATCTCTGTTAACCAATAGCGTTCAGCTGCGCGTCTAGCTCCGCCTTTTACTACCCTTTCTCGTGTTTGGTACCCTTTCGAAAGGGTGCCGAAAAAGTGGTACGGTAGGGTTCGGTTTGGTACGCCTTTTGACAGTGGAAACGGTCATAAAAGCGTACCAAACCGAATCGTACTGTACCAATCAGTGGAAACGAGCCATAGGCCTATTGTTGTGTTTGCAACATTTGTATATTTTAAAACCACCTCTAAGGAATGTGGGGGTCGAGAGTCACTGGCATTGTTATTTTGGGTGTCTCTGGCTTCAAAGTTTGGGATGCCCTGCATTAAATCACTTAGTAGACAAAGCTGTGATCAGCACTCTCAAAAATCTTATTTTTCAGTATTTTCATTGACATGTATCACCATTAGGACACAAATTCTACATGTTAAACTAGGCAGTCATCAGTGAGGCTTGCACTGGACATTAACCTAAAATTTTGAACCTAAAATATTAAAGGGCACCTATTATGCCTGTCAAAAATTAGGAAGCTAATGCTGACTCTCAGGGGGAGTATCACAATGGAGTGTCAAGGCTAATTTATACGTCTGCGTCAAACGCACGCGTATGCTACGGCATTGACTCATAGCCCTACGCGGTGATGTGCACCTCTCAAAAAATGTAACTACACGTCGCAACGACGCGTATCGCAAGCTCTGTGATTGGTCGGCTTGGTAGCACTGGCGAGTCTGGGCGGGACCGAGAGCCGCGCGAGTGGCGTGAGCCCTATGCAGCGGTTGTTTACACGTGTAGAGTCCCGTGAAGGAGCTCCGGATGGAAAGTTTTGTTTTGTGTTTATCTCATAGTTAAAGTTGTTGCACGTCCGCCTGTTCTGCCTCAAAATGAGCGAGTTTGAGCCACTTGTACATTCAGGAAGTGTTCAGGAAAAGCAAAACAGCAGCAAAGAAACTCGACACAGAGGAAGATTTACACCTCACTGCCAACTAGCGTTTCGGAAGTGTTAATGCAGACCAACAGAGACAGCAGCAGAAGTATAAATGCACAGCTACGGGCGTTGCATGCGCCGTCGGTTACGCCGGTCACTTGACGCAGAAGTATAAACCAGGCTTCAGTCAAAGCACTTGAAACAAGATCCGTTTTGTTGGGTTTTATTCACCAATGTCAGTACATACCTCTCCACATGGTATCAGACTGGTTTCTAATCATAAATGCAAAAGACAGGCCAAAAAAATAAATCAATAAACTGCATAAACAATACTCCATAAAATAAATAAACACTAAATGCAAAACTGCATAAACAAACAATACTCCATAAACACAAAACATTACCTTATAAATAAACACTACAAGAAAACACAACTCAGTTACACGCAGCCACAACACCATATGAGGAGTCCAGAGCAGTGAAAGACGAGCATACTGCTACTGACGCCACACTACTTAAAGGGGCTGATGATTAGAGTGATATGGTGCAGCTGTGAACCATGCGGTAGGCTTTCAATGCGTGCATCAGAGAGGTTTAAGAAACAGTGGGCAGGGCTTCAGTGAGCGTGTCACAGAAATTTTCTACAATGCCCCTTTTTAAAAGATGTCAAGTAAGTCTCTGATGTCTGGAGTGTGTTTGTAAAGTTTATACTCAAGAATGCAACACAAATAATCTGTTATAACTCTTTGAAACTGCCTCTGTTAGGCTTTGATACTAATTGGGGCGTTTGGGTGACTGTCGCTTTAAATTCAAATGAGATTGTGCTCTTTTTAAAAGAGGGCGGAGCTACAAATGCCTGTGTGGCAGATACAAACTAACTTCATATGCTTATGAGGGAGAGATGGTCTCTTATGGGCGGGGCTTTCTCCCCTCTGATGACACGTACAAAAGGAGATTGTAGAACAGAAGTGTTTCTGCAGACTGTTTTTTATCAAGTGTGTTTATAAACAATGGGATTCATTATATTTTACCATTAGAAGCTGGTTACATTCATCCACTGTGGCCACACAATTGTGCTTAATCACGTTATAAAAGTATTATTTGCACAATAGGCGCCCTTTAAAATCCCTTTTTGTCTCTTTCAAGGGTCCTTTGATTGCAACCGCCTTCACCAATGGCTACCACTGAGGGTTGATGCGGTCCGCATCCAGCAGGAGAGCAGAAACACGATGATGGAGGAACTCCTCATCACTCCATTCAGGAGTTTACACCTTTTCTTTTCCTCTATTCTCTACTAACATCACTTTCCCTCATCCCGAGTCCTTTATAATATGCTGCCGTCTGTCTTTTTAAAAGAAAGAAATGAAGTATAAAAGATCGTCGAAACAATATTGTTTGATTGTACGCGCGGAAACACGCGAGGAGTTCTGTTTCCTTTTCGGGTTTTTATTTTATTTGATGTTTTGCTGACTGTTTTTAAACAGTTTTTACTGTACTCATGCTGTAACGGATGTTGTCGAGAAGGATGGAGAGAGAGAAAGAGAGAGAGGAGCGATAAAACTGGAAAAAGTCGAATATAAAAAAACGAACAAATATTGTGAGAACTGAAACAAAACCACAGGACGAAAATGTATATTTTGGTAGTGTTGCGCAGCATTTTTGTAAGCTGAATCGTTGATACTTCGTAAAAATTGGATTTAACTTGAGAAATGATTCATTTTCTTTGTGAGGCGTTCATAAAAACGGTTTTCGGATTTACGAATAATTGACGATTTGCACAGAAAATGTGACCATGCTCATGTTGAGGCTCTTGATTCGGCTGTTTTTGTGTAGATACTGTAAATATTGCATGGATTTGGGGAGGGGTTCGGATTGAACGATGGATGGGGTGGTGCGGGAGGGTCTTTATGGGTTTTTTTTAACACGCAAACATCTTTCTTCACATTGACTCTTGTATTTCTGAGACTCGTTTCACAACCAGGTTGGGCTGATGCAGGCCTTCGGTTGTGCTTCTCTCACTTTCTACTCCATTTCTACTGAAAAACAATTAATGTTTTGGACTTTCTACATTTTTGAATCAAGCGATCTTTGTACAAATTGCTTCAGTTTTTGTACGACTCCTCATGCTTGTGAGTTTGAAACGATTCGGAAACCATTTTGGATGTTTGCGGTCACAGAAAATAAGGTTGCGTTTTTCAAAAAAACAGATCTGGTCCCTTTTTTGGGAGAGAAAACACAATCTTAATTCGTTTAGTAGCCTCAGTTGGAAAGGTACGGCTGGTTAGGCTTCTCGTCATGCTGTTTTTGGAAATATATATTATATATATGAGTTTTGTTTTTGCGCATTGTACTTCTATTGTAAATTCCTTTCCCTTTCTCATCTTCTTTTGTTGACGGTACGACGCTGTTTTTAAAGAAATGAAGGACAAATTTACAAAGCAAAAGGAGTCTGAGCGCTGTTACATCTCAGTTTCTGTCTTGACTGCGAAAAATCCGTTTCTTCCACAGTGTTTTTGCTATTTTCTGTCTTAAATCAAAGTGCATTTAGTTGAGAAGCTAAATTATGTTCATATTACATTATGAACAGTGTCTCAAAAGGTTGCTGTATAACAAATTAATATCTGGCAATCGGGTAAGAAATGTAAATGTACATTTACTTTGAATTCAATTTATTGTTCAGACCTTATTGACATATTTTGTATGTTTTATGGAAAAATGATAACAACATCTTTGGACTAACATATACATTTGTTCTCGGTATTAACCAAAATCATGTTATTTGAATACATCTTTGCTTAAAATAGGGCCAAAAATGAATCGTATTATCATTTTTATTTGTTTTGACCTAATCCTGAGTGTATTTGGGAGATTCTAAAACTAATTTTTGTTTTATAATCATGTGACATATGCCATCATACAGAAAAGGTCATAGACTTTGAAATATAGTTTTCCAACTTGCGCAACTTTAAAAGGCATGCAGATAATTAATGTTCAAAACAACGCTGAAATACACTGTAGAATATTCGAGATGCGTGCTGTAAGGGCTCCACCCACTTCTGGAAAGGAGGTGGGGAGACGTGCCTTATTTGCATTTAAAGAGACACAAAAACCAATTTAAGTAAAAATGTTGCTTCCAATTGTAATATTGGCATCTAAAGTATAGAATAATAAGGAATCTATGGCATATTTTCAGCTGATAATTTACATATACATTTTGAAAACACCTGCTTTATAAATAATGTCTTCAAATTTTGCTGTAAAACAAACTAATATCTGGAAATCGATTCATAAACATAAACATACATTTGACTTTGAATTAAGTTTATTATTCAGACATTATTGACATATTTTTTATGTTTAAAGGAAAAATAAAAACAAGGAAAATCTCTGCCAGTTTTTGTTAGACTGGACTAAATTTGATATATATTTGCTTAAAATAAGACCAAAATTCAACCTTATCTCTATTAGTGTTTTGACCTAATCCTGAGTGTATTTGGCAGATTCTAAAACAAATGTTTGTTTTGTATTCATGTGACATATGCCATCATACAGCTGGCTTTTTGTTTATGGACTTCAGAATATAGTTTTCCAACTTGCATAACTTGCAGATAATTAACATTCAAGGCAAAACTGAAATACACTGAAGAATATCCGAGATGCGTGCTGTAAAGGCTCCACCTACTTCTGAAAAGGAGGTGGGGAGAAGCATCTAATTTGCATTTAAAGGGAATCAAAAACCAATTTAAATAGAAATGTTGCTTAAAATTGAATTATTGACATCTAAGGTTTAGAATAGCAAAACATTATGGCTTTTTTTTTTTTGTTTTGAAAATTATACATTCTAAAAGCACCTGAGACTATTATTTTGTTTAAAAAAGCAAATAAATAGCTCCCCATTGAAGTAAAAAAAAGGAGTTACATTTTTTGAGAGGTGCACGTCAGCATCAGCCCCGGCTAGGGCTATGCGACTGCGTGAAGGCTTCCCCAGACCAAACGCATGTGCTTGACGCAGAAGTATAAATCAGCTATATGGATATCTTTTAGCTAGTGTTCACCAAAAAACTGACACAATTGGCATATATATATATATATATATATATATATATATATATATATATATATATATATATATATATATATATATATATATATATATATATATAACTTACATTTCCTCATGAGATCAGGCTGGAAATATACAAATACACATCGATCTGCATCATAAGACGTGTTAAATCACTGTCGTTGTATGGGTTAGTTGGACGATGGATTTATGTGTTTTTGGAAGCTTCAAAATAAAAGCCACTATCCAACACCATCACACAGCGTAGGAGAGCTGGGAAAAATATAAAGCTACTTTGACTGTGCATACAGAAACAAAGTCATATACACTGGCTTGAGGGTGAGTAAATTACACTACCTTACAAAAGTCTTGTTGTCAATGCCAGTTGTAAGAGCAACAAATAATAACTTCTAGTTGATCATTTGGAAAAGT